TGTTCACAATGTGTACATACTTGGGGAGCGCCAAAACAGCAATGAGTGAGCTTCTTTGCAGCTGTCATGCAAATGTAGTCATCTGCAGCATTGCAAGGGTTAAGACAGTACTTCAGTACAAGCTACAACAAAAGCTGTATCATCAAGTATCTAGCTGAAAAGCAGACTTCATAGGAAAAGACCAGCTGCTGTGTATTAGTGAACCAACCTGTTGCAGCCATTTGGGAAGAAAATATGTCCTTTTGTTCAGACTGGGGATGTTCAGCTCTCAAGAATCTTAAAACTGGGCAGTATGTAATCTCACCTGGTCTTTGCACAAATACCATGTGTGAGCTTTCCTTTCAGGATTAATGTGCATGCATTGTTGCCATTTCTTTATAGCATTCAAATAATTACAGCATGTATGCAAATTAATGTGTATGTGCTCTTCCATCGTTCTCAATTGATGGTGCTGAAGGGCATGCAAAATGGAGCACCATGCACAAAGTAGCTCTTAAAGGGGCAGATACTTCTGATAAGACTTTTTTTTCACTCATTTCTGATGGATATAGAATTGCTGCAGTAACAGATGAGTTATGATGAATGGTCATCTCATGTTAATTCCATTTCTCTCCACAGATGCTGTCTTACTTTCTGAGTATTTCTAGCATTTTTGTTTTTTTTTCCAGATTTCCAACATCCTCAGTATAAAATTTGGAATAAAATCTAAGCATTGTGCCTCATGGTCTGTCAAAGACTGACAAAGGGTTATGGGAGAAGATTTCTTACTTTGATGTGTTTCTCCTGTGTGGTGAGTCCCTTTGTAAGTCTGTTCCCCATCAATACCAAGACAAAATTGTCCTGCCCTTTGTAGACAGGTAAACCCCTTTCTATGATGATGGCCTAGTAGTTTTATCGCTGGACTACTAGTCCAGAGACCCAAATAATGTTCTGGGGACCCTGATTCAAATCCTGCCACAGTAGATGTTGGAATTTGAATTCAATAAAAAAAATCTGGAATTAAGAGTCTAATAATGACCATGAATCCATTGTCGATTGTCAGAAAAACCCATCTAATTCACTGATGTTGTTTATGGAAGGAAACTGCCATCGTTACCTGGTCTGGCCTACATATGACTCCAGACGCACAGCAATGTGATTGACTCCTAACTTCCTTCTGGGCAATTAGGGATGAACAATGAATGCTGGCCTAGCCAGATATGCCTTCATCCCGTGAAGGAATAAAGGACAAAAAAAAATGACTTCACTTGGGCCAAATTTATAACACTCCCCCAATTTGAGTACATTGTCATACACAAATTGCTTGCCAGGAGCTCATTGAGAAAATATATTCAATTCGCTGTCAGGTGCAAATCTCACATCATGATGTAACCCACACACATGATGATCCACATACATTGCAAAAGATTTTCTCTGCTTTACTTTAAGGCTATGTGCTGTTCTCTTTTGAGCCTTCTGCATAGAGCTTTGCATGATAGGGGCATTTATGTGAAGACTGTGTATTGACATTGGTGCATTCTATCCATGCACTTGCATACTTTTCAGCATGATGGGTCACAATTTGAGTGCACACATTGACAGAGCTGTTATGAAAGTTAGCTGTCTCTGAACTTACTTCTCCCGGGTTAATTACTCATCACGGGTACAGCTTTGGAAAAGTTTTAAAGGGAGTTGATGCAAGATATGCTCTTATGTCACAAGCAAAACAAAAACTGGGAGGCAGCTGCATTCCTGCATCTCCTAAATGCAGGTTTCAGAGGAGATTTTACTGTAAGCATTGACCCAGAGGATCATCAAGCACAACAAGAACGAATAGCAACAGAAAGGTGTATTTTTACCGCATAAGCAGCTTTATCGAGCTGGAAAGAAAATTAGACCCCTGGGGTAAGGAAGGCAAAGTTAGGAGGGGTGACCGAAAGCTTGTTCAAACAGATCCATTTTCTGAAGGCAAGAGGTGATTACAGAGTAGTTTATCCACAAAAATTAAAAAAAGAAATCTGGTAATAGAGAAAATGCAAATATTCCTGAAAAGTTTTTATTTAAAGTGATTTATATGCATTTACTACCCCCATCACATTTTCGTACAACTTACGTACACTGAAACTAAATGTTTGATTAGTTAACAGTTGTTTATGCATCTTCTGACAAGGTTTCGTGTACATAGTGGATAGATTTTAACACTTTCTAACATAATAGGTTTTCTTTAGAGGAAATGCTGTGTTGACATCTTTCGGATAAGTTGTTAGTTGTATGTTCTGCTTGACCTGTTATGGGATAGCAAAGGTTTCCTTGGTGCTACTTCTGATATACCACTCCTTGAAATGATTTGCTAACTCCAGGAAATATTACATATTGCTTAGATGAATGGGATATAATTTCCCCTCCTTGGAGGTGGCAGGTGAGGTGGTGAAAAAGGAAAATATTTGGGTGAGTTGGCCATGGTAAGATACTTACCTCCTCCTTGCCACCTTACCAATTAAGTGCTAGCCAACGAGATCCATCAGGGATTTTATTGAACCACAACTAATTAAGCCCCTAAAGCAGGCAACTAATGGCCAAGCAAGAGCCTCGACTTACCACTTCCCCAATTTCCTGCCTCCGTCGTATGTGAGAAAAGTGGCTACAGGAAACCAGGGCAATCTGGCTGCCCAGTCTGGGGGCTGGGTGTTGGAGGCATTGATAGTAGGGAAGCCATGTACCTAAAACTTGCCTCCAGTCTCTCTGACCCCTTCTCCCCATGACCCCCATTCAGTGATCACCACTGAATCCCTTGAAGAGTAAGCCTCAGCCAATAATCTTTAGCACCCAGAAGGTGTCAGCTTTGATTGGCCAGCAGCTTCTGGTGATCCAGGATGCCAGTGTTGAAGCCTGTGATAGGCTGAGCAATTCTCTCGAGCTGACTGGCGCATGATACATCGGGTTATCTTGGCATTGCCAACTAACCTCCTGAGTCACAAAAATGGAAAACCATGACCACAGAAACATATTGTCACTGTTTCAAAATAAGGGGTTTTCTATTTAAAAACAGAATTAAAGAAGAAAAAATACATGTCATGGAGGGTTATGAGTCTTTGAAACTTTGATCCTCAAAAGGTGCCAGAGGCAGAGTCTCTGAATATCTTTACGGCAACGTCAGACACACCACTGAGAAGCAATAGGGTGAAAGGTTATTTAGGGAAGTTGGGAATGTGGAATAATGAGATCAACAATGACCTTGTTGAATGGCAGAGCATGGTTGAGGGACCGAATGGGCTATTCCTGCTCCCAACGTATATGTTTGTTTCTTTGTACTGTACAGAAATGTTATAGATTGCCTGCTTCTGTTACAGGCATTGTTCATTTATTGATGAAGGGAATTGCATGAGAGATAGAAGTATTATCCTACAGATGTCACTTTATTTCTTTGGCTTTCACGCATTGCCGTGCAAGTAATGCATACTTATAAATGAGGTGCAAATGTATATCTGTCAGTGTGTCTGCTGAGCACACTTATTTTCCCGGAAGGTGCTTTTACTCGACATTAGGCTTGAAATTCAATCCTCAGGAGCCTGGTGAATGGGTGTTAATCTATTAAACTCGAGCAGCTTTCCACATCCAGGCAGATGCCTGGAACAAGCCCTGTGCAGGTAAGCTTAATAACCATATATGTGCAGATGATTCTGCAACAATCTCATGTTGTGACATTGCAACACTGGCTCAGTGTCTTTATCTGGCCTCTCTGGGAGCACCTGGGTCTTCTGCAGCTTAATGGTCACAAGAAATATAGGACCTTCACAATCGTTGGTTTCGTGTAAGTTGGTAAGTTTACATTTGGCTGTGTTCTTGGACCTGTGCCTCCCTCATAATGCGGACAAACAGAACCACTACAGAATAAAATATGTTGAACCGTTAAGCTCCAGACAGAAATTGCAGTGAGCTATATGATTGGATCAAAAGTTCGACATTTGTTAATTTTGGGAAAAATTACATTCAGAGCATTTCCCCTGCCCTGTGCGGTCAAACAGCCATCTTCCCATCTTTGATCTAAACAGATGTGGTTGAGTAGAAAAATAAGCACTCTGGTTTTTAAAAGCCTCTATTATTTTGTGGCTGGATTATTTGTAGCAGTGTACAGGATGGTCATTCCATTGGTGGGGGCATGGTAATAGCTGTACTGCAGCATTGCACACTTGTTGCAAGCAAGGGAGACAACTGAAATCGATGGCTCAGAAATCAGTGAAATCTCTTTCCAAACTGGATTGTACCCGCCCTTCCTCTTCCTGCGCCGCCATCAGCATGTTTTGATGTCAGGTGCTGGAACTGTTAGTTTCATTTTTATTTGGCTTCTTCTGAAGTCCAAATCTTTTTAGAAATTATTGGATACAATAAATGTTGAGGCATTTCTGTGAATCATTGGAAAGTTACACTTGAAGAGAACCACTGTTCGGAGTCGGAGAATCACTGACAGCAACCTGACCCCCTAAACTTGAAACGGTTGTCTGAAGCTCAACAAGCTGCAATTTATTTACATGGCTTAACAGCAGTGCCAGGATTGGGGAACAATTTATAATTTATGCGCTTGGTAAAATGCCATTTATAGCTTAAATTAGGCAAATAATCAGACTGAGAGATGGAAAGGTGTTGATTTTTATGTATGCTCATATTAAATAATAATGTCATGTGGATCATGAGTTTGTTTCCTCAGTAGGAGACCCTTTTTTTGTGTTCAACTATGAAGAAATTGATGAAATGCAAATAATGTTTCAATGCTAGGTTGCACAAGCAACCATCGATACAATACTGTGCACGCCGTGCAGGAGAGAGGGGATTTGAACAATTGGGTTTACAACATGATTCTAATTGTGAGAATAACTTAAAAAAGCATGGTGTGACTGGGGGAGGACTGGTGTTTGATGCGATGGCCTGGTTGTGATTTCTGTTATAACTGTATTGTAAGGCTTGGTGACCTGCACTATTTCTCTGGATGGACCTTAACTAACACTGCCTTTTTTATTCCCCAGATTTTACAGGTGAACAAAGTAATGTCTGTCCTCTTTTACGGCATGCTTCTCACTTATCTCAGTGGCATCCAGGCTACAACCATGGACAAGAGAGGTTCGTCCGAGGACTCTGTGAGCTCACTCATCATCAAAATCCTCCAGGCGGACATCCTGAAAGGCCGACTCTCCAAGCAGAGTGAAGAGCTGAAGGAGAAGTATCAGGACACCGAACAGAAGGGTGACACCCAGAGGGATACAGACTCAATGGGGAATACGATATCTGACTTCCAGCCGATCGTCTCGGTTAATGCTGAGTTACTAAGGCAGAAGAAGCGCTACCATTCACCCCGAGTGCTGCTGAGCGATCGGCCACCTTTGCAGCCGCCCCCTTTGTACTTAATTGAGGATTTTGCAGAGAGTTTGGAGATGGACAACAGAACAGCCAGGCGGAAGCGATATGCAGACCGCAGGGGGCATCGCGGTGAATACTCTGTGTGTGATAGTGAGAGCCGCTGGGTGACGGACAAAACAGCGGCGATCGACATCCGAGGGAAGCAGGTGACCGTCCTGGGAGAGATTAAAACCGGCAACTCTGCCATCAAACAATATTTTTACGAGACGCGGTGCAGAGAAGCCAAACCGGTTAAGAATGGCTGCAGGGGCATTGATGACAAACATTGGAATTCGCAATGTAAAACCAGCCAGACCTACGTCAGGGCACTGAGCACTGAGAACAATAAATATGTAGGCTGGAGGTGGATTAGGATAGACACCTCCTGCCTCTGTGCATTATCCAGAAAACTAGGCAAATCGTGATTCCTCGCCCCATCCCCTTTTCCTCTTTCTATGTGAATATATAAATTATTACTTTAAATTATATGACTTTGCATGTAGCATATGAATGTTTATATTATAGTATAGTTCACGATTTTTATTTATTAACAAAAAGGTCAACTCATCAGACAAAAAAAATTGCTTCTTACAACTCGCCAAAACAAGATAGCTAAGTTGTGCCTTGCTTCCAGCATCATTAAAAGTCGTCGGACCAGTGTTGCTGTGCATTAGTAACTGGTCCAAGGGTTTACCTCCCCTGATTATTTCCTCGCAGCCACTTGTTGAAGTCAGTATTATTGTCAGTGATTTATAAATGGGATTTGGGAAGGCACATGTAAAACCCAACCACAAGCCATGGCTGCCAGTCTTGAAAGTGCATGTCTATCCTTAAAAGCACGGAGAATGACATTTGCAGTGAGACTGAGAGAAGGAAGCTAGATCAGAGGGAATGCTGGCAACACCATCTGTGCAGATAAAGCTCTTCCATATGTTTCACTCATTCCGCAAGAGCTGCTCTTTCTGGGAATAAGATCTTTGCAGCATTGGAGAAAAGACTGCTGTGAGAGTTTTCTCTCTCTCTCGTTCCCTCCTATCGGTACTATTTTAAAATTACTCGGCACAGCAACCAAATTCAAATTTTTTTAATGTTGTTTGCTGTATTCACTAAATTAGACCCTTTTTCTAATAAATCCTCTTCAAACTGGAAGACTCCATTAGCCAGAATTATATCTGGAGAGAACTGAATTCTGTTTTCTTCTTTTGTCAATTCCCTTTGTTTTACTTTACAACAAATTTAGCCAGCCTGTGATTGCCCCCATTAATGGGGAAAGGAAAATTCTCTGTGGTGCTATGCATTTGAATGCTTTTTCTTTTGCAAAAAAGTTCAATACTTGCCAATGAAATGTCCAATGAAGCTCATGGTTGTGGAACAAAGTAAAGATTTCCTATTATGTGTCAGAATGTTAGCTGTCTTATACCACCAAAACGGTGATTTCTCTTTCCCCACTCATGTCTGAACAATAATAATCAGGTTTACATTCCGTGTAATTTGAACCTCCGCCAAGCATCCAGTGTTACAGTCTCTTACTGCAAGATCTCTAAACAAAATTAACTGTTCTTTAAGAGATAGTAGGAACTGCAGATGCTGGAGAATCTGAGATAACAAGGTGTAGAGCTGGATGAAAATCGTTTTCTGAAGAAGGGTCTAGGCCCAAAACGTCAGCCTTCCTGCTCCTCTCATGCTGCTTGGCCTGCTGTGTTCATCCAGCTCCACACCTTGTTAACTGTTCTTTAAACAATAATTATAGCCTGGAGTTTTTTGTGGGAAATATTACCTTCGCAAATTCCTCCCACAGAAAAATGCGATCATAACCTACCATAGGAGGCACATGTAATCTCGCCTCACGTTAGAGCAGACAGACTGTGGCTGGTGACAGTAAAATGGATTTTGTTTAAGACAATACAACGACTTAACTTTGATCCTAGGATATCTCGGTCAAGCACAAACACAGATGCCAGTGAATGCCTACCTTTACAAATAAAAGAATTCTACGTGCACGCAATAGAATGGTTCCTTAATGGTTGATTGTGCAGTACCAGCTTTGCCAGGTGAAGCACTGAAAACACCACACTGAAGATGTGAAGAGTATATCTATTAGTTCAGCTTGTGTGGTTGAACAGTACTCTTCATCAACACACATTGTCACTAAACTAATAACTGGAATGAGCAGATTGCCATATGAGGAAAGGCTAGACAGACTAAGAGTTTAGAAGATTCAGAGCTGATTTAATTGAAACATACAAGATCCTGACAGATCTTGACCAGGAGATAGTTGAAAGGATGTTTCCTTGTGGGAGAATCTAGAACTAGGGGTCATAATTTAATAATAAGTCATTAAAGAGAAATGAGGGTAAAAAGAAATTCTGAGGGTTCGGAGTCTTTGGAATTCCCTCCCTCAAAAGGCAATGGATGTAGAATCTTTAAATATGTTTAAGGGAGAGGTAGATAGATTATTGAGTACCTAGGAGATGAAAGATTATTAAGGATATGCAGGAATGTAGAGTTGAGGTAAAAATCAATTAAGCCATGATCTTATTGAATGATGGAGCAGGCTGATAGGGCCCACTGGTCTACTCTTGTTCCTTGTTTGTATGTTCAAGCAAAGTGGAGGAATCAAATATTGCTGTGGATATATGTTGTATTATATCTCAGCTAAGCGCTTAATCTTACACTTCAAACATTGCCCTTAAGCAGAATCAGTATAAAACATGACCAAACTGTACATAACTTGATGTAGCTCACCGTTGGCTTGGTTCTTAGATAGATTCCCCACTGAAGAATTTAGTAACTGAGATCTGGAAGATTTTAGAATAGACTGAGGCATTGTTTCAAGTTACTTGTTCTTCAGTATGGATGGAACAAATTCATGAAAAACTTGGCTATCGGATTTCAGAGGTATCAGGGGATAGACAGAATTGCTGAGTTCGTTTAGGAAATGACTACTAATCTCACATCAAATAGTGTAGATGACAATTTTTGAATAATAGTTGCAGCCAAAATTTTTTATACATTCAATATGTCTCTACTAAATCAGAGTGAACCATCCTTAAGTAAAAACAGAAAATATTGGAAATACTCAGTGATCTGGCAGCATACTCTGCCAGACTTACTGCGCGTTTCCAGCATTACTGTTTTTACTACAGCTATCCAGCATCTGTAGTCTTTACTTTTGAATTAAGCATTCGTCTGTGTTTTCTGTTTTATCCCAAATTCCAGTTTCCCCCTACTGTAGACATTGGTCCAGTCTTGGGTCAAGGTCAGAGGAAATGTGTCAAATTTGGATCTGTGGTTGCCCTCTTACCTTCATGTCCCTAAGGTCAGGTATTGAAGCTCCAATCCAGAAACTTGAACACATCATCTGGGTTGAGAATTCAATGCACTGGGAGAGAGTGTTGCTAAATGTAACTCTTGTAATGTGACTACACAACAGACACAGACAAGACTTACAGTGATTTCAAGGTGGATGTAATTCTTAACTTCTTCCATGAGGAATAACCCGAGTGTTTAATGTGAAATGATTTTTCTATAAGGTGAATAGATTTTGCAAATATAAAAATGGAGAAGTTTATTCTCCATAGTAAACTATAAAATCAAAGTTACTCAGTCTGTTGAGTTCACCTTGCTGTGAGGGTCCAAATGCAAGATCTGATTCACTATTTTGTTTACTTCCTTCCTGACCATTAACCTCATATTTCCTGTTAAATTATGAGCCTGACCATTCTTCCAGCATTTCAGATGAGTATGAGGTTTCTCTCTCATAACTATTTTACTTCAACAAAGGCATAAGTAAAAACATCTAGTTATGCCTAAACTTTGGAAGAAAATTTCCTGCAAATGTTGCAAGCCTATGGCCATTGGTCATTAATGGGTTTATAGCCCTGTTTAATAGAATCAGCTTCTACATGTATACAAGTGCTTTAGTATAGAGTTAGTAAAAGGTATATTTCTTTAAGGCAGATTTATACACTACAGAAATGGCTGACAATACAGTAAGGCAGCATGACTTAGTACCAATATGTAGAACTAGGTACCATGGGTTCACATCTTTTAACACCATGCTCTTAATCTCAAACACATCTTTGTAAAGAGCTGCTGAGCAGAGACAGGCATTCCCCTGTGTAGCTGAGAAGTTTCCTTGAATCCATCACCAGATCATTCTTCAATACCCCTTCAATCCACCTCATACCAGATTTTGCACAGACGAGAGAACACATTATTTACCATTGGGACATGGTTTGAAAGATCAGGGAATGTATTAAAAATACACTGAAAAGAAGGCATTTGACACTTCAGTGAAAGAACTGGTTGAGGTGACAGTTTTGATATAACCACTGTTATTGCTACGGACTAATGATTTTGATGCATTTGATAATCAAAAACAGACAGGACCACTAGAGTGCAGTATTTCTCTAGCTTTGGGCAATGGATAAGTTGTTCAGAATCTTGAGGGGCTATTCCATTCCTATCACCATGAACTGCAAATCACTTAGCTATACAAAATAAAATTCCTGTTTAATTTATCAACTTGGATAACATGCTTCAGTTTTTCAGATTTGCAAATTGACACAAAGCTGATTTTCATAAACTAAAGGATATTTCAATCAAATGAAGAAATTTGGTTGGCAACAATAAGATCAGGGAAAAGACCATTAAATGACCATATGATGTGCATGTTTTTCAATAGCATTCTCTTAACAAGCACATGTATTGTTCAAATTTTACTGTACTTGATTCCCTTGTGAGCTAAATGTAAACCATAGTACGTAGAGATCAAGAGATGTGTTGAAGTGAGTTCCATGTGATTCAGGTATCATTGATATAGTGGAAGCTAAGGGATTTATGAATCTATCCTGAATTTGAATTCATTTTTTTCTTTATAATACCAAGTTTTTTTTGTTGACAAAAGAGCTCTGCTCTTCAGGTATTGCAATGTGAGTTTACATATAATTTCCTTTTCCATTGACAATCATTTCCAGTCCAGTCAGCTATTTTACCATTCGAATTTGTGTTACTTGAAAGGGTATATTATTTACTAGAATACTTGACCATGATTGTAATGGAACCTTATGACAAAAAGCTGTAATTTTACTGGGGTGCTCCCTCACTAGTATATAATAGCTTTTAATAATTCATGCAACCATAACCATGGAGCAATTGTACATTATCGTAGGAGAAAATGTAGGTTGAATACAATGAGAAGGATAATTATTGAATTTTACCTCAAAGAGACTGGCAGTGTGATGCCACCCATTTAATGCCCCAAATGAATATGAAATTCAGCCTTGCAACTGTCACTATTGTCGAGAAACTGCTAATAACTACAAATAATTCTGTTACATTCTTTGCACATGTAGCCGTACCTCTTCATTTAAGGAAAAATCTTTGGAACTTTAATTTATTTAATCAATTAGTAAACCAAGAC